CAACTGTTGCTCTCAGCTGACGAGCCGGCTCTCAGCTGTTAGAGGAAGGTTGCGCTCCGTGAGCTACCGGGAACCAGCCGACGAGCTACCGGTCGATCACGATCGACYGGTTGAGCACCCCTGCTCTAGAGTCATGGCTTCATAAACAAAAAACACTCTGAGAGGCTTTAGGTTAGGTTATGATGTCTGGCTAAGATTGCATTAGTTATGTTTAATACCAGGAATAGCAATATCTGGCGCAATAATAATTGTCTCCAATTTATTTGAGTTTAGTTATAGACAATTATCAGACAGTCATTGGTTTATATGTGAAAGACATTTGGTCAAGGAGCTCAATTTGTGGACCTTGGATATCTTAAAGGAGAAATAAATTTGAATATCATCTGCAAACAGATGGTAAGAGACATCACTAAACTGCTGTGCTGCATGATTCTACCTAAGGGTAGCACGTACAACAAAAATGAAATTGGTCCTAGGATGGAGCCCCGAGGTAGACCACAACAGGACCAGATGTTATGTTAATTGCCAAGACGCAGACGTTCCTGTCAGTCAGATAAGAAGAGAACCACTTCAGCAATGCACCAGTCAACTAACCATATCCACCCTGTTTATCAGGATAGGGGAATCATCTGTATCAAAGGCTGAGGAGAAGTCTAGCATGATTAGGACAGTAGATCTTCCTTAGTCAGCAGCCATCTGGATATCACTAGATACAGTGGGGTGCGACATTTTGGGCAGCTTGTTAATTTTCCTGATTTACCTTTATAAATCATTGATTGTTTAGATTGTAAAAAATCAATTAAATATACAGGATCATATAGCGGACAAACACAGTGATATTTGGGAAGTAAAATGAAGTTTATATGATTTACAGAAAGTGTGCAATAATTGTTTAAACAAAATTAGGCAGGTGCATAAATTTGGGCATCAAAATGAAAACCTTATCTCAATATTTAGTAGAACCTCCTTTCGCAGAAATAACAGCTTCTAAACACTTCCTACAGCTTCTAGTGAGAGTCTGGATTGTGGCTGAAGGTATTTTAGACCATTCTTCTTTACAAAAATCTCTAGTTCATTCAGGTTTGATGGTTTCTGAGCATGGACAGCTCTCTTTAAGTGACACCACAGATTTTCAATAATATTCAGGTCTGGGGACTGAGATGACCATTCCAGAACGTTCTACTTGTTCCTCTGCATGAAGGCCTCAGTAGATTTTGAGCAGTGTTCAGGGTGGTTGTCTTGTTGGAAGATGCAGCCCCGGCTTCAGCAGCTTCAGCTTTGTCACTGATTCCTGGACATTGGTCTCCAGAATCTGCTGATATTGGTTGGAATCCATGCGTCCCTCAACTTGAACAAGATTCCCAGTCCCTGTACTAGTCACACAGCCCCACAGCATGATGGAACCACCCCCACATGTTACTGTAGGTAGCCGGTGTTTTTCTTGGAGTGCTGTGTTCTTTTTCCTCCATGCATAACGGCCCATGTTCTGCCCAAATAAATCTATTTTAGTTTCATCAGTCCACAGCACCTTATTCCAAAATGAAGCTGGCTTGTCCAAATGTGCTTTAGCAAACCTCAAGCAGCTCTGTTTGTGATGTGGGCGGAGAAAAGGCTTCCTCTGCATCACTCTCACATACAGCATCTCCTTGTGTAAAGTGCTGAGCAGTTGAACGACTCCATCAGCAGCAAGATGATGTTGTAGGTCTTTGGTGCTGGTCTGTGAGTTGACTCTGACTGTTCTCAACATCCTTCGCTTCAGTTTACTCCAGATTTTTCTTGGTCTGCCACTTGGAGCCTACACTTGAACTGTGCCTGTGGTCCTCCATTTTCTCACAATGTTTCTCTCTGTGGAGACTGAAAGCTGAAATCTCTGAGATAGCTTTCTGTATCCTTCCCTAAACCATGACGGTGAACAATCTTTGTTTTCAGCTCATTTGAAARTTGTTTTGAGACTCCCATGCTGCGACTGTTCAAAGATGCAAAGAGGAGAAAAACTTACAATTGCCCCCCTTAAATACACTTTCTCATCACTGAACTTACCAAAGCAAATTTGAGTTCCAATAATTAGTTCTAAAGTTTTTGAAATCATAAAATGACAACAGTGCTCAAATTTATGAACCTGCCTAATTTTATTTAACCAATTATTGCACACCTTCTGTAAATCATATCAACTTCATTTCACTTCTCAAATATCACTGTGTTTGTCCCTTATATGAAATATATAACTGATTTTTTTTTTATCCAAACAATCAATGATTTATAAAGGTAAATCAGGAAAATTAACAAGGCTGCCCAAACTTTCGCACCCCACTGTACTTCAAGTAAAGCTAGTAGAGTGTTTTTTTCCAGCCAGACAGAAAAGTGTCATGGATATTATTGGCCTCTAGGAAAAATATAAGTTTTTCTAGTATCTTGACCAGGAAAGGGAGCTTAGAAATAGACATATTTTAATCTATTGGGTTAWGGTATTCAATTCAATTCAATTCAATTCAATTTATTCATATAGTGCCAAGTCACAACAATTGACATCTCATGACACTGTACACAAAAAACAATCTAAGGAAGCCAAGCCAGCAGATTGTGTTGTTTCTCCACTWCATCACAATCTCCCATTCTCCAATAGTAACTGGTTGGGTTCACCAGGTTTCATGGATAAATATAACTGATTATCATCAGCACAACAGTGGAAATTTTAAGTGGGGGCAGGAGACAACTACTTTTCAAAAGACATAAATGCATTATTTTTCCTATAAAATAATGTAGTTGCTTTCTCTTGGTAGTATGGCTTTACTTAAAATTATATATTTGTGAAATTCATTATTGGGATGTTCCAATTTAGGGTTTTCCAATGTTGGGGGGGTCAGGACCCCCCCGGGATTTCCGTCCTTGATCAGGTCACTCATAGAATGTTTCTTACAAATCAGGTCAATCTACAGCCAATTTGAGTTTGATTCTAAGACAATCACTACGTGTAATTATGTATATTTATTCAATTCAAAAATGTTTATTGATCCCAAACYCATTCAACTAAAGAGTTAATGTGGATGGTGATGGCTGTGGGCAGGAAAGACCTTCTGTAGAGGTCTGTATTACAAAGAAACTGAAGAAGCCTCTGACTGAAACCCTTATTGTGAACGTTTGAATAAAATGCTTAGAATTCCATTCCTTCTCATAATTATTTGATCTCAGTTTAAAACTCTGGCATTTGAGGCAGCGGGTGATTCAATGTAAGGAATTTTCTTTTTCCTTGCTTTAGCTAGTTAGCCAAACCAGAATGAGCCAAAATCTAAATTCATCTTTATGTGTTATCTTTTAATTATTTTGTAGTCCTGTCTGCAGTTTGTGCCGACTGTGTCTCTACATTTTGCCTCAGATAAGACAGATTTAGACATTTTTAAGTAGTCTTGACCAACAGTCCTTTCACTCATTTTCTGACCTTCAGAAAGTATTCAGCTAATAGCTCTTTAAGAATAAGCTTGTTGGCCTTAAAATACACATTTAGTCTGTCAAACTGGGTTGTTTTCAATATTTTTCACAAGTACAACTGAAGAAATGGAAATAAATAGTGTCTTTGTGACAGGCTGCTGTTAACAAGGTCAGTGTTTAATGTTTTCTAACAAGTTATTTAATAGTCCTGATCTTGAATCCATCAGTGTGGGGCCTTCAGYCTGCACTATTTACTCTGGAAAAGCTCTGATTTCCCTTCAGTGTGGGACTGGCCCCTCACTCAAGACATCATATTTTGGCTCAGGCTCAACATTCAGCACATTTAGCAGGGTGTAGCACTGCAGTCAGCCCACACTCATGAACATGGGTGGAGGGTGACGATGATCTCACAGAGGAACCACAAAGATCATTTCATGGGAGTGTGCAAGCAAAGAAAAGGACTGTTCATGGTGTTGGAGTGATCTGTTTTGTTTTCTGCAGGAGAAACAAAGGAGGAAGGAAGTTTGAAACATCTATGCAGAGAAAGATGGATGGAAGGAAAGGAGAAAAGAAAAACCAAAAAGATTGTATAGATTTTTACACTTATAGAACAAGGACATGTCTATTTAAATGTAATTCTGCAACCCAGTTCTGACAGTGGTTTTCCCATCACCCCTCTTGAGAATGACTCAGCAGTTGATTGTTATCTCACCCCCTCTGTGTGGGACAGCTTGGCCAGTTCTTTGTCCGACGCCTGTGGCACTCCTGTGGGCCACTCCACCTTCACCTCCTCGTCTTCTGGTGTCTCCTCACAATGTTCCTCGTCCTCCTCCTCTACTTCATGACCTTCCTCAAACGCCTCTTCTCCTCCTTCCTGCTCTTCTTTGTGGCTCATCTGTGGTGAAGAAAACCCAGAGACAGAGACCGGGTCCTGTTCTTCCCCTTCATTGCAGCGCGTTGCTTCAGGCTTCCTGGCTAAAATGTGAAGGAAACAAAAACAAGTTGCCACTTATTTGTTTGACTGAAGCTTTGACATGTATGATAYTTAACTGTGTTGATAAAAACTGAAGGATTATATCACAAATGCTCCATTATCGTGTAAATAATGAGCTAAAATAGGGGTTTTCAAACTGAGGGGCGCCAGGGGTCTTGAAGCGGGGCGTTGGGTGAATCAGGAAGTGGGGCAAAAATGTAAGGCTTACGTTCACACTTGCACGTCTAAGATTAGATTGTTTTGCTCAGATCTTATCTTCAGTGGTGTATCACATTAGTCGGGCCCGTTTCCAGTGAGAGTTGGACTCCGCCAAGGCTGCCCTTTGTCACCGATTCTGTTCATTACTTTCATGGACAGAATTTCTAGGTGCAGCTGAGGTGTTGAGAGGATCTGTTTTGGTGGCCTTAGGATCGCATCTCTGCTTTTTGCGGATGATGTGGTCCTGTTGGCTTCATCGGAACGA